AGTATGTGTATTTTAACATTCTAAGCATGTTTCTCTTCTATGACATACTCAAATTATGCTCTTAAATATGACTTATTCTTAAATGATACATTTATAGTATCATATCGACAAATGATACATGAATAGTGCCCTACCGATAAAACTGAAAAATTTATCCTTACTTTTTAAATCTCTACAATAATATTATAAGAGGCTTTGATATAGGGTATGACAATGTTTACATTTCAAGATTATAAATGTAGTTTGTGGATGTGATAGGAAATAATGTAAACACATCAAAGTGAATGTATAATCATTACTTCAATTTGAGATACTCGCAATAAATATGGAACTGTGCTTAAAAGGAGAAATATATATTTGACGTAAATTTATTGTTGTGATATTAAGGCTAGAATTATTGTTAATATTCCTCTATTTAGTTTTAAAAGGTTAAGGCAAAGCACCAGAGACCAGCGGAACTACTCCAGCCTTTGGAGGTGGCTGAGTGGAAGTGGGAGCACATCACTATGAATTTTGTGACTCACTTACCACGGATTTCACGGGAGATAGTCAGGTTATATGGGATACCCGTATCTATAGTATCCGATCAGGACCCCTGGTTTACAACATATTTTTGAGAGAGCTCTAACGGTCTATGGGGACACAGTTGATGATGAGCTTAGCTTTTCAACCCCAAACGGACGGTCAATCAAAGAGAACCATTTAGATTTTGGAAGACATGCTTCAGGCATGCGTCCTTGACCTCAAGGATAATTGGGAAGAGCACGTACCCTTAATGGAGTTCACCAACAACAATAGTTATCAGACGAGCATACATATGACACCCTACAAAGAACTTTATGGGAGGCCACGTTGTTCTTCGGTTTGTTAGACGAAGGTTGGAGAAAGACCCTTTCACGAGTCCAAATTTGATCAGAAACACTTCAGAGAAGGTGGACTTAATACAAAAATGTCTTCTCACGGCTCAAAGCCGCCAGAAGAGCTACCCCGACACGCGATAGCGATTTTTGGAGATCAAGATTAGAGATCACATCTTCTTAAAAATGATGCCTAAGAGGGGAGTGTTCAGGTTTACGAAGTGAGAGAAGCTGTCACCGAGGTATATCGGGCCCTTCAAAGTACTCAAGAGGGTTGGCACAGTCACTTACCGATTGGCTTTATCGCTAAATTTATCTGGTGTTCCATGTTTTGATGCTCCAGAAGTACATTTTAGATCCTATGCATGTGGTTGTATGTGCATGTGTGTGTAAATTTGGAGGACGAAATTTCTTTAAGGGGGAAGAATGCAAAACCCGAAAAAATTTAAAATTTTATTTTGAAAAAAAAATGGTATTTAACCATTACAGTACAGGTTGAAAACCCAAATTTTTTTTAGAACTCGAATGAAAAAACAGACCTCACCGTTGGATTTGTCTCATGAAATATAGTTACTCATTCAATTTTTGTTAAATTCTGAGATAGTCAAATTTTTTCACATTTTACAATACGATTAGATGTCGCGCGACTAAAATAAATGTGATCAAAATTTATTCATGGAATATAGGAAATAATTTTATGTTAGTTGAAATAAAATATGTTGAACATAACATGAAAAAAATTTTAATTGATTCGGGATTAAATTGGACCAAACAAAAGAGGCGCGCATGGAGCGTTGTGGGCCTAGTAGATGGGGAGTATAAAAGGGGAAGAAAATCTAATTTTCTTCCCCATTCTTCGGGCCATTTTGGATAGAGAGAGAGAGAGGGAGAAATAGAGAGAGGGAGAGAGAGAAAGACAAGGGTTCTCCAAGCTTTCTCCTTGCGATTTGCGACTATCTGTTTGTCGAATTGCTTCGAGCCAAGAACAAAAAGTGTTCTATGTGATGAGAGCTAAAAACATGTACAAAAAATCATGGGTTTTGCTAAAGTCTCAAGACCAATATTTTTGGGATTCAGGTTTTGAAGCTTAAGTTGGGTGATTTGGGACTCCTTCTACGTGTATTAAGCTTCAAGAGGTAGGGTTCTTTTTCTAACTAGGTTTTTTTTCAACCTAGGGTTGCATGTGGAATGGGAAGCATGATTAGAGATGAAATCTCTTATCAAAATATACTCCTAGTATAACTAGAGTATAGGAAATGAGTATAGAAACATGTTGAACCAATCTTGTATTAATTGTGTTTGTTGAAATTGTTTGTTTATAATTTCTTGAGATATGTGATGAATGAGACATGCTTTGTGTTTACATTTATGCCTTGATGGTTTTGGATAAAATGCATATGTTGAGTAAGTGTGTTAATTGCATTGAAAATATTATAACATGCTTTGGGTGAGGTTGCGAATTGTGATTACATGCTTATGATGTAATCGACAATTGGGAAACGTTGGTTGAGATGTAATATGTTCATTATATGCTCATGATATGAGGAACATGATATTTAGAATTGCAATTGTGAATTACAATTACTTATTCACGGGTAGCATTGCATTCGTGGGCATTCAACATGTGTATGGATGCGTGTGTGCATGTTTTTTATCAATCACAACATAGGTGGGTTGATTCGTGAGCTCAGGAAAGTCGCACCAAGGTCCTGTTGAATTGCACAAGAAATTGAATGAATAAACGTGTTAGGGTGTACTAAGAATGGGCTACAAGACCCAGTTACTTGGTTATACATTTCCCGACGATAAAATTCTAGAAAAGTGTAATGGCGAAGACGGAGCCGCAGGTGAATGTCCTGAAAATCCGTTGATGGTGTGGTGTCCCGTTGGTGACATACCATAAACCACCGCCCCACAAAGACACAAGATTTTTATAAAATGGTCATTGAGTGTACATAACTTCAATGAAGGGGGGTTTGGAATGTCCGGATGCATACACATGGCATTGCACGTGTTATGGGAGCCGATAGAGGGCTCGGATAACATTGCATGTGTGAGTCTCACCTCATAACATGACATGACATTGTGGCATTCATTATTAAATTGTATATTCTTGAACGAATGTTTGATTGTTATGTTGCATGCAAACATTTCATATGCATCTGGGTTGGAGAGTAGCCTCTTTAGGAGATTCCCTATTGAGTGTGGCTCACCCTTTATGGGAACAACATTTCATGTGCGGGACAAGCGCCTGCAGACGGCCCGCACTTGGGCCCTTATTGACGAAGAAGCTAAGATGTGACTTTGAATTACATATTATAACTAAATTATGTAATTCATTTTGAACTTGTAGAATTATATTAATGGGTCATGTAATGAACTTTTATGGATTAGAATTTGTGTATAAGAATATATGTATGACTATGAAATGAGTTTGGTTGGACAAAGGTAGAGATTGGAATGAATTGGGAAAAATCTGGGCCCATGTACCGGTACCTAAGTGATTAAGTACCTGTTGGGAGGCCAAGGTACCAGTACCTTGACATAGGGGTACCAATACTTAGATTCCAATGGGCTCAGATGTCGGTACCAAGGCTTCAAGTATCAGTACTTCGATGGACAGTGGGCTCAGGTACCAGTACTACAACATGTAGGTACCAGTACCTAACAACCAGTGGGCTCAGGTATCAGTACCTCGTCACCTAAGTACTAGTAACTGGCAACTGGAATGAATCTGAGAAATAAAGGTCCAAATACCGGTACCCCGTTACTCAGGTACCAATACTTGTCAAACAAAAGGCTCAGTTACCGATACCACGTGTAAGAGGTACTGGCACCTCTTTCAAACTTTTCAAAAAAAATTTAAATATAACTTGTCAAGCCTTTGCATCTTGAGCCTTCTTGCTTAAAAGATATAATTGGTTCAATATCAAGTGTAAATTGATGGGGATTGGACCTTGAAATGGTCAATTGATTGATATGTGCACAGGTTATGTGTTTGAGAGTGCTCTGATATAAGAGAGACTACCCAAACTCTATATCGGTTATTATCCCGATGAAAGAGATATAATGATGTGGTGTCGAGTTATACGGCATTAATAGGTACTTCTACAAGTTGATGAGCGATCAACGGATTGAGAAATGACCCCGGGATTTGGGACGTCACAATAGATATACTGATCAACATAAAAAAGGTTCATTGATATAATATCAAACAATATGGTGTGATTTCATAATAGTTGGTCTGCCATAAAGATTCTTAAGTATTTTAATCTACCTCTTGTTCAGTGGTTGCGTCAATATACAAGTAAATCCTCTAGAAAATTAGTTTATTGTGTTTATGAAACAAATAGATTAAAAAAATTTATAGGTTAATATGTTGTAGTACCAACCACTCGGCAAGTTCTACCTGCAAAATGGAAACCTTTAGATTTTGTCAACCAAAGCAAAACAATGTTAACTTAATTCAAAAAATTTAGAGCATTTGCAAATTCCACCGATACTATTGAAGTCCCGAAAATAAACTTATTAGCGACAGAATAAGCGAATTGTCTTATACACACAAGGGCGCCACATGCGTCCAATTATCTATTGGTAGCACTATCATTTCGATCGGCATTAACATTGCTCTAATTCTGGTCATACAATAAGCTTTGAAAGGTGACAGGCATTAAAACATATTTGAATATTCAGTTCCAGCCAGCAAGCAAGCAAGAGCATTACTTCATGAGAAAAAATAGCAAAATTTTCAAGGTCACTAAATCTACAAAATTGAACAGTATCACCACCTTGAATGGAATTAAGTCTTGCAACAACACGCTGCATTCTATTTGACTAAGAGAACCGCAAATCTCTTCCCTAAATATCCTAGTAGGTTGACGTTGAAAAGCAACAGTCGCCTGCAAGTGCTAATGTGTCAATGTGCCCCCCAAAGCTCCCTGCCATCAACAATACACTCCCAAAAAAAAAAGAGAGATTTAAGCTTCGATACCAACAAAAAAAATACATTTAAGCTACGATGAGTTTTGATGGACAAAATACATATGTTTATCACCCCAAAAAAAAGGCTCAAGGCCACCAGAATCAAAATGTAATGTATAGAAAAAATTCATGAGAAATTTACCAAAAATAAAAGAAAAAATCCATGGGAAAAATACAGACAGCCACGAAGATTATTTCAATCATGACATAGTACAGTGCTACAATATTCCCTGCTATAAACAAATTCCACAATCACAAATCATGAACACATACATAGTCACTATACGTTGATACTAAAAAATTAATAAGATATTTACCAAAAAAGAATAGAAAAAATCTATGGGAAAAATCAGAGCCACAAAGATCATTTCTATCATAACATAGTAAAAAATAAAAAGCAAATAAGTGCTATAATATTCTTGCTATAGACAAATTCCACAAACACATCAGGAAAACATATATAGTCACTATATGCTGATACCACAGATAATCCTCACAAATTTATATTAAACAAGAGCAAACATTAGTTGAGAAAAAAATGTATGTTCACCAAGTGCATATGAGAACCAACCAAGGAACTGGACAAGGAGGTGCAATTGATGGTGGGTATATTTTGTACAACTTGAAGCAAATACTGGCCAATCTCATGTCCGGCCAGCAAAAGAGTTGAAAATGAGTTTTCTATAATATCACCTGCTGAATCTATAATGGCTCTTTTAAAGCCTTCCATTCAATCAATTTCTGGCGTAGTTCTATAGCTTCTTCAGTCATGCCAGCCGAAGCTACCCCTTTAATTATGGTGGAATAAACAGTCTCTTCAGGCCTGTAACGACTTGAGATCATCAATTCTAGGACTTGGATTGCAATATCTATCTTGTTTTTCTTACATAATGAATGGATCATGAACCTGTAAGCACTATTTTTAATCCTGTGCTTTCTCTTAGTCATCACCTTCAATATTTCCACAGCATCCTCGACTAGATCTGCCCGGAAGAACCCCCAAATTAAGCATCGGTGTGTAATATCATCGGGAATAATCCCATGCTCTTTCATATGACAATACAATTCCACTGCTTTCTCCATGTAACCCTCCTTTGCCAATCCATCAATTACAATATTGAAAGTAATCAAACTAGGCGAGCAGCTGGTGCCACCTAGATACAGAAGAATTTGGAGGGCCTCACCTGTCATTCCCTCTTTACAAAGAGCACGTAAGAGTGTGTTATAAGTGATAATGTCTGGAGAACAGTTTTGGGAAACCATTTGACCAAAGAAATCAATGGCACGATCTAAAAGCCCATATTTACACAAACCATTTATCAAAATGTTGTAAGTGACAACTGTAGGAGGATGGGAAGTTCTGTTCATAAAAGCAAAGATCTCATCCACCCCATCCCAACAACCATTACTAGATAGAGAATGGAGAAGAGTGTTGTATGTTACGGCATTGGGCTCCATTCCTTGTGATAGAAGATCATATATAACCAACACTGTGTCTTCCACGTTTCCTTGTTTACATGTAAAACTAATCATTGAGTTGTAGGTCACGAGATCAGGATAACAGCCCTCAACTGCCAAATCTTGCATTACTTCTATAGCCTGAACAATCCCACAGTGCTTGCAGACTAGCTCAATGAGAATTGTGTAGGTTATTACATAAGGTGGGCATCCCTTTCTCAGCTGATCTTCCCAGAATCCAATGGCCTGATCAAACCTCCCAAGATCAAACATGACGCGTATTATCGTGTTATAAGTAATCACATCCGGGGGGCAACCACTCAAGCTCATGTCCTCCAAGACATCAATGGCAGATTTTAACTGTCCCTTTTTACACAGACCACCAATCAACATGTTGTAAGTTATAGTATCTGGAATTCCACCAGACATAACCATAACTTTTAGGACTTTTGCAGCTCTGTCTATCCGGTCAATCTTGACAAGGCCCCTAATCAAGTTTATGCAAGAAGGGAAATGGGGAATTTGGTTTCTACGAGCCATCACTTCTATCAACTTTGACGCATCGACTAGCTTCCCATAACTGCAAAAGCTTTTAAGAAAATCATTATTAGTTTCCTCACCATTCTCAACAAAAGGGCCGTCTATAGACAATGTTGAGGGACTAGAATGTTTTTTTAAAAAAATTTGCTCTTTAAGTTTCTTATCTACATCCTTTACGTATCCATCTGAGCTCCATTCACCTTGTGCACCCTCATTAACTTTATCTAGGGAAAGACCTCTCTGCTGGCCTCTAAATCGTAACAAAGATCTATTTCTTCCTTCATTATCAACTTCCCTCCACTTTAGACAAAATTGAGTTTTGCAATTACCCTTGGTTAAGCAGCTGAAGTGAATTGATGATGCTTTTGCCATCGCATTAGCGCTATAACCGGAAATAAGTTCCATTTGGCAGCAATTCAAATGTAGTCCATGCAAAGAAGGAACCTCGATCATCGATTTCGGTGGGATAACTGTAGAACCCATTTTTTCTTCACTCTAGTCAACAACATAACAAAGCCTTTATCCCGTCCATTTCTTTCCCCCTAATGGACAGCAAAAGTTTAGAAAGAGGTTAATAACCTCGGTTTCAACAATCAAATGCACAACCAGAAAATTCTTCAGTTTTCCCTGATTCAAACAAGCACAACCAGAAATTGATATCTCGCAAAAAATGTCAATTGCACAATTACTTCTAAGATGGTTGTCCAACCAAACCTCAATATTGCCCATGAAAATTCTTCAGTTTTCCCTTCCCTTTACCAGAAAATTGCATATGTTCAAAAACAGGATCATTTAGTATTCTGTCAATCAGACAATAAATAATTCTAAAACAATTCAACCTCGAAATTAGCAAATTCAAGCACCCAAATCAAAAAAAAAAAATTGAAATATAACGCAGCACCAAAACCGAAGTTCAAAATTTTAAGCTAGAACCTAGAGAAAATATAATTTAAACGCAAGGAACATTTTGGAAACCTAAAGCTAACCAGTTAACAGAATTCAATTCAGAACAAATTGTAGTACTTAAGGCAGAGAAAGGGAAACGAGAGTTTCATCTCCCAAAACCCCACAAAGCCATGGACCACCCAGCTCACCAAATTAACTCAGAACCATATCTAATTTAGATTTCACGAAATTAACAACGCAGTCCACAAAATTGTAATTAGAACATTTCCTCGAGAAATACAAATTTCTTGGACATAATTGAAGAAAGTAAATCATAAGCGGGAATGTATACCTGTGTGTGTGTGTGTTTTTATGCAAAGAGTTCCGGGTAAACAAAATGTAAGACCAAACACAATTGAGAAACAATCAATGTAACGACTTTAATTCAAAAAAAGTTCAATCAAATTTAAATAAAAAGAAAAAGAAAAAGAAAAAATACCATATAGAGAGAGCGAGAGTGCAAACTTCAAGCAACCAAAAAAATTCCACAAACTATTAAATCTACCAACCAAAAAACACTCCAGAAACTATGAAATCTACCATTCTTTCACTTCGATTCTGAATGAAATCCTCAATAAAAAGAAACACAAAAGTAAACCATCAGCATGGGGCAAGAAATAGAAGGAAACAGACGGGAAACTTACCGAGAGCTGATTAACATAACCTAGGTAGACACAAAAACCCTACAGACAGTTGTGTTCTTGATAGTTTTTGCTTTGTATACTTTGCAGACAACGTTGTTGAGTTTGTTTCATTTGTTGAACTAACACCAGCGGAAGTTAATAACTAGGCTGAAATTAGGTTAAGGTGCAGGAGCTCCTACTATTGAAAGTATTTTGGGGGACATTTTGCGCTAACGACGATGCTAGTCCCCGATTAAAATTGTGAAAATTGATTGGAAATCCAGTTAGAGGAGCTAGGCGTCTTTAAATATCTTCTTAACCGCATATTTTGACCTTACTCGATTCTATCCGATTTGATTGACCGACTATCGCATAAAATTAGATACCTCAATAGAAGAATTGTTGGTATTTTATAAAAATTAAATAAAAATATGCAAAATCCACAAAGTTTCTGTATCCCTATATTACCCGCATATTTTTTTTAAATTTTTTAATATTTTTTTTAATATATATATATATATATGCATGTTAATGTGTACACAAAAACCCTAAAATCTCTAGCGCCTTCTCCGTTTTCTCAAACTCTCGTCTGTCGCATTTCTGTTTCTCTCAACTCTCACCCCTATTTTCTTGATCGATCGCCTCCTCAGAGACTCGAGTCTCAAAGACTCTCGCCCCTCTTTACCTCTCTAGTCTCCGTCAATCAAAGTCGAATCCACAAGCTGGTGAAGCTACAAGCATCAATTGCCAGTGCCTCTCTCTGCTTCTCTCTCCATCGAATCTTTGTACCTGTTTCTGCTTCTTAGTCAATCGATCCCCTAGCCTCCTCTTCGAGTCTTAGAGACTCTTGTCGCCTCCTCTTTGAATCCACAAACAAGCTTTGGGCAAGCTTCGAAACCAACCACAAAAACGAAAAACGAGCAAATTTTAGGGTTTTGATTTAGAATAGGGTTTTGTGAGCTATTCGTTTTGATTTCAAGGGGTTGTTTTAAAGAGTGTCAAAATATAAAATAAATTTTTGGATAAATTACATTGAGACCCCTTGAGGTTTGTCACTTAATCATCTAGACCCCCAAGGTTTGAGATATTACACCTAGACCCCCTGAAGTTTATGCACATGTAACACATAACCCCCACCACCATTCTCCGTTACTGTGTGTCGTTATAACTTCATGACATCATCCTAACATATAAAATTAATTTTCCAATCTACCCTTTATATGGAGCCCACTAGCACCAAGTCATGTTGCCTAGCGAACTTCCCATTTTATTACCGTTGGAGCATTGTCTATAAAGACTAGTGCTACCAAATTTTTTTTTTAATTTTATTTATTTACAAAAAAATTGATTTTTTTTTAAGAAATAAAGAATTTTATTTCATGAATTTCAAAGGATTACAAGAATCAAAAGTGGCTTTAATCCTTCAAAACAAAACAAGAATACAAGGTTTCTTACAATCCAATACAGTACCATCAGACCCACTATGGTAGAAGCCTGCAAACATTTTCATCCTTCTCACCACTTGCAACCAAAATTTACAAGAAGCAAAACCCAGGCAAAAACACCTAGCAGAAACACAACCAAAAACAGTCTGTCTGCTATACCATTGACCTCTCTAAAAATATGCATTAGTTGAAAATTCATATTCTGCAATAAGTCCAAAACCTGATCCAGCAACCTTGGATAACGCCAAAGTAGTGCTGCCATATTAGATGCCACTCTGCATATCAAAGAGATTCTATAAAACAAACTCAACAAAACACTAAGCAATATTTTCTATTTATCATCCAAATATTACTGAAAGTGTTCATAATACAAATTCTGTCGACTAAACATAATTTACATTTACATCAACTACACAGGCATCCAAATATGCATGGAGCCAAAAATATATGCAAGCATCCAAAAAAATAGGTCTTTCACGGAAGCACTTTCAATAAACCATACAAAAGATAAACTACCAACAAAAGCCCCTGCCTACTCAAATTAAACCATGCCAACAACAAAAGCAATTTTCCCAGCTAGAAACATATGCACAGAAAATCAGAATATTGCATGTTCAGACTCCACTGCCACTTCAGTTGAAGCAGGTTCATTGCCTCTGCTACTCCTTTCTTGAGTGACAGTCTCTGTTACTCTAGTCCTTGAAGACATAATTTTTTTCTTTCCTTGTCCCTGAAAAAATGTATTAGTAATGTGAAACATATTAGTATATGATTTCATTTGCTTTTATTAAATTTTGGTATATAGCATATAAGATTAACTATAAAGGTGAATGTCCAAACC